TGTGCTGTAACGGCAGTATCTCCAGCTGGAGATAGGTTGCTTACCTTATTAAATGATAAGCTGATATGCTAAGTAAAACAAGTTATATGATAGGTAACCTACATTATATATTCTAACATTATATATGTTTTCCACAACTGGTTAGTGAAAAAGGCTACATGGAAACAACTCTTACAATTGTCTCTTAAACAACCTGTCTTGATGTGTTAAGATTTGAGGTTTTATCTTAACATGCTGTAAAATGGTGGCTCGTTTAACTATACCAATGTTGAAATCTGTGTGCTCATTTTTTTGAGTTTTAATCGGATTGAATTGCTCGTTGGACCTTTATGAACTCTGATACCATGTTAAGATTTGGGTTCCATCTTAACAAGCTTTGGGTTCCATGTCAGGCTATATCACGAATGCTCTAATTCGTATTATCATCAAACCAATATAAATGTAATCCAGCAAACTCTGAGATTTTTTGATACCTTTAGTACAGCTGGGGCAAGAGAATTACGATCGCGAGATGAGAAAGATGCCACATAGGTTGAGGCATATTTACCAGTGTAAGTTTTGGTCGGTTTCAAGGTACTTTAGGGTCACTGTACACTGTTAACAAGCATTTTCTTTACAGGGAGGCCCAAAAAAATTAAAGAAGTAAAATTTGATAATATACCTCGTGCAGCAAATGTAATTTAGTATCTGAGTTCCGGACATTAGTCTGAGCTTCCTTTATGTTTTCCTCACCTGCTTCTAAAGTGAACCAGAGCACCACTCGTCCAGATACCCAAGTCTCATTCAAAGTTATCTGTTCGTAATAGCTACGAAGTCATGACAGGTCAAATTCTCTCCAAAAACTTCAAAAGAAATAAAAATAAACACTTTAAAAGTCAATGTGCTTTTGAGTTTCAATTGCAAAGACATGTTTAGGCTCAACTAATCCAAGATGTATACCCTTGGTCTTCTAGATCGTTTCTATCTTTGTAAATCAATTCGACAAAGCCAGTGTTCTTTCCTACGTACATTGATTGACCCCTGCAGGTCATAAAAATTAATCAATTGATGAAAATGCAAGAAGTCCATTGATAACTCATTTTTTTATGCATTTTCAGAAATCACAGAAAATATACCGTGAATTTTTTATTGTTTCCTAGCATGATGATCGTGGGAAACGATTTATCCATAGTACTAGCTGCAACAGAAATGACCCAAGGTGCCACATCCTCCACTGTTCCAGCAGCCGACCTTGAATTTCCCCCAGAACAAACTGTTATTATCCCACTGGCAACAGCATGGAATGAGCCATAGTAAATCACATCACGCTTGTCAACTTCTGGGTACAGAGGCAAATCTATACCCATTGATATTGATAATACATTAACACCATCATTATGTTAGAGAAAATATTCGTGAACAAATACCGGATTTACAACACATAACGGATATATAACTTACTGTATAAGCAACTTACCGGATATGCAGTTTACTGTGTAGACAATAACTTATCGAATAATAGCTAAGATATAACAAATTAAATAATTTGCTATTCACAACAAACAAAATAAGTTATATAAATCACGATAAAATAGAACAAATAATCTAAACAGCAGAGAATAAAAAATTAATCGAACTTTAAAAACCAAGGCCTGGAATGTTGTCTCCAGTCCATTCCTATGATGCAACAGTGATGCTTGTAAGGATGAATAATAAGCAACATGCTTTTAATGATTTTTATGCGTAAAAAATCTAGCCAAGTAATGCAGGTTACTTGTAATAAGACATCACCTATGTGAGAGAGAATTGGGACTGCTTCTAAGAGAATTGTATGGGGCTCAATTCTTAAGAACTCTCGTAGAACCAGGCATATGGTCATGGCAAAAAACGAACATGATAATGAGAACTAAATTGTGTTAGGAAGAATCTTGTGTGGAGCATATCATCATTTACATAAACAGAATTAGGTTCAAAGATAGCACGTCTACTGGTCAGCTAGTAAAACAAATATACTTTCACAAAGGAAGGTTCAAAGGGTAATATCTACCTAACCTATGAACGTTTCAACCGTTGAACTTTATCACCAAATCTTTAATTCACATTTTGTATCTTTCCTAATTTTCATTCATTTGGGGGATTGTTGGAAAAAATGAGGTCAATAACTGACATTGGCATAAATTTTGAGTGGTACTTGTTCACGAAAATCTATTTCGAATTTAAATCCCACAAGTGTACGGATCGTTCACAAGTAATAAAGTAGAAATTCAAGAATTTCGAATATCG